AGATATCCTTATTTGAGCTATTAAAAGTGAAAATAACTCAGCAAGACGCCTATCCGAAAAATGATACCTGCATTAATTCTTTAGAATCGAAAGAAGAGAAGTTTTCCTTTACAAGTTTGGAAGCGTCTCCCCCCTTTTGTTGGAAACGTTTCATGGGCAATTTGAAGATATCTTTGTTTTCAATCATCAAAAATCTATACAGTTATATTTCGGTTTGCTTCTCAAGCACACTGCGCTTCCACCCGAAACAACTTTTTACTCGATTAAACAGCCGACGATCTCGTGCTAAATAAATAAATGAGAAAAAATCTTGTACTGTCTTCCATCTTGTACTTCTTAACTTGTTTGAATCCGGGAACCAAATTAAAATTGACCGAATTGTAAAGATGATTCTCATGATAAAACAAATAAAGACACACCTGCGATGACAAAGCTAGTGGGCAGAATCGAGAGTTTGCAAAGTGTTTTAACAATTATTGCCATTGTTTTCAATCAGCGAAAATTTGCAATGTGTTTCACCGATCATTGTTAGCGCGTAAATTTGTTAGCACGTCAATACATTTCGTCAGTTCACAAAAAAGAGAATCAAAAACTGAAAAATAAAGCTTATCTGTGAAAAGTGACCGGTAGTGAAATTGTGGCAAGATATAGATATTTCTTACCTTATCCGAAGGAGAAGTTCGAAAGAACAGACATCCGAGGTACTCTGCATTGGACTCTGAAATATGTATTGACTGAGTAATCCTAAATTAATATACCCAGTGCTTAGCTAGCACTGATGAGGCATCATCTTTATTGGCTCTTCTCTGTCGTTTATTAATTAATTTTCTTTGAATCTAAATCAATATTTGCTTTGATATAAAATGGATGTCATCTGCCTGACTTCTGTTTATCACAACAGAATTGGAAATACTTCACCCGTCTTCATTGCTTTTCCTCGTTCTGTTTCCTTTTACTGTTTAATTTTATACTTGGCAGACGTAATCTCAGTGAACGGTAAAATGATGATCTTTCGTTTATAGCAGCAAGACCTTCTCTTCATGCTGTAAATTTGGACGGCGGCCAATAAATTGATATGGCGAGAAATGTTTCTACGTGATCGCCTCAACAATGTTGAGAGAATTAATCGATCTTACCCTTAAGTGATCTCCTCTCCTCACCAATGCTAGTATTTGCTCATCCCAAACCGCTTATTATTATTATTATTATTATTATTATTATTATTATTATTATTATTTTAGTTATTTATTTCATTCATTTCCACTTTGTGTTCAAAAAATATACAGCTTTTGGTAGTAACATCTTAAGGTGAACATGGCAGATGAAATATTTTCCCTCAAAGCAAATTAACGCTAAGCGTATAGTTAAGCGACAACTCCAGTCTCATCTCGCGCTTTTTTGCTAAAGATGTAAGTAATTGCGTTTAGATTTGAACCTTTTGAAGTGAGAGCTTTTAAACATGTGTTTATAAATCGTCTCTGGTGTCGGTTTATTTAACAAACTTCCTTCCATAGCAAACAAAAACCTCAGCTTTCTTTATGTAAACGTTAAAATATACATCCTCAGCTGTACGCGAAAGGAGACAATTTTTCCTTTACTAGTCTCTATAAGTCATTATTCGCGTGTTTGTTTCGTACTTTTCAAGGGCAATGCCAAAACCGGGACTTAAGCTTTACGTAGCGAAACCTGTTCATTTTGTATTCTGGTTTGTTTATCAGGTACACTGCACTACAGCCCGACACAATGTTTTACTCGATCGAACATCAGACGCAACTTGATATACAAGGTACAAGGAAACCATCCGAGAACGAATACGATAGTTAGAATTGAAAAGACCGATTATAGCGGAATATTAAAATATGGCAAGTAAGGAAAGTTGTTGGTAAATTTTAAATTGCCTTTTACATGTAAGTTAAGGTAGGATACGATCAATCCGATTCAAAATTAAGCAAGCTTTTTAAAGCTCGCCAATTTATTGCTGCTACACTGTAGGTAATAAAAGTATTAACGAAGTTGCAAGAAGGGAATTTCGACTTCCTGCGCCCAAACAAGGTCACTCAATTATTAATATAGTTTTTCAAACACTACTTGTAACCACGCTTAGGGCGATGATTACGCCAACGTTAATATATAACTTTTGTCATGCAAAAATTATTGGTAATAGTGTATTGTTCCTTGGATTCTAAAGAGATGACAAAACGAAATTTCCCCAAGCGCAGTTATATTATCGATGATCCTATAACGTTTTTTGTTGTTATGTGGTTTAATTGGCTGCTGATGAATAAGATTTAGCTTTTCATGGCTACCTTTTAAGAGGAAGTAGAATTGTTAATTCACCTTCCCGAAATAAAGCCAACTTTTGGCAAGAATGACAGAACGCATAAATTTCTGTGATGCGACATTTCTTGAGTCTAAGCTGTTTTACTTCAGTCTGGACTTCACAGGTTAACATGATGATTTGGCGCTCCTTAATAATTTATGGATCATTATCATATCAGTTTTAAAATTCTTTCGCTGATTACAAACATAAGCGTTTGCATGGTTCTTCGCTTTCTTTTTTAGTTCTATATATTTTTTAGTTATATATATTTCTTTTAAACGTCATCCTAATCTGGAGACAAGACAGGTAAATACAGTAAACGCCTTCAAAACACGAAACGAAAGTTTTATTTTCCTTTTCATAACTAAAACTCTCATTAGTTCGGAAGGTAAAATCCTCAATGTGTTACCGAGTGGAACAATTAATGGCGTTTATAGCACTGCACAAAAGTACTTGAAACAATAATCATCGAAAATTGCGCTTTGTAGTTGGGATATTTCGCCGATATCTCGGCGATATATCATACATATAAGCGACCAGACGCGTTATAGCGATAACCCGACGAGATATCAGCATTTCCTTGAGATATCTCGCTCAGTGAAATATCGTTCTTGCGAAATATCGCCTTAGCGATATCTCGTGGAGCGCGTGACGGATTCATCTCGATATATCGCCCTAGCGAAATGTCGCCATAGATATTTATAACGTAGCCTTAGCAAAGCGCGTGTTCTCATTGGCTGATACGTTCGATCCATTTGCCCGTGGGTTACACGCTGACGTCAGTTTGTTTATTTGTACTTTTTCTCGGTAATTTTATAAAAGAACGAGATTGCATGCTTGGGATCCATGAACGTAAATTGAATTACATTTCGCACCCAACTGATTTGCTCTGAAGATTAATTGAGATAGTTTTGAGGTGGTTCTTGAAAAAAAGAAGAAAGAAAAAAAAGGCAAATTCACTTTCATTAACACTGCCAACATGTCGTTGTATCCGTGTTTAGATGAAAGGGATAGTAACTCAAGAATATCTACAAAAGCAAGATGGTTCAACTGATCTGAATGTCAAAAGTAAAACGAAATATGAAATGGATTGTTATAAAAGAAACGATATTTGTGCAGAAAGTAGTGTTTTTATTCTTCCTACCCCATTCAAGGAGGGTCCAGAGATGGAACTATGATGCCGGAAAGAAGTACCATTACATAGTGGCAATGAAGAAGGGAGTCCCCCCCATCTCACCCCCGCCCACGCCCTGTTTGCAAGGGGGCTGGAAGAAAAGTCTGCTGTCCTAGACGACATTTCAATTTCATTTAGTTTTCTAACAACTTATTCAATAAAGTTTTTTTTTATTTTTGACATTTACATGTAAGCCAGCTCAGTGTTTTCTTTTTCTTTTCTTTTTTTTTTCATCGTTTCTGTGGATTTTCTTGGGCTACTTGCGCGATTGAAAACTCAGACATCAGACCCGTAAAACTAAGACCCCCGAAAACGAAAACTAAGACCCGAAAAGGTCAGAATCTCTGCGTGTCTCGAAAACTCAGACCCGAAAACTATAACAACTTCTTTTCACAGCGTGTTTGCCGCAGACTGCTTCAAGACGTCTTGTTTACTGTTCGTCGATACAATGTCATAGAAAGAATCTGCAGAGATAGGAAAAAACAAACAAACAAACAAACAAAACAGGCGCGGTGGCAGATTCCTCTCAGGGGGGCTCTGATCACAAAAATAATACCTACCATTCGTATGGTTTTTGGCTTGGTATAAACCAAATTTATCAAATGTATTTTATACTTAGAAGCCATTCGAGTTCCAAAAGTTTAGTTACAATGGCGCGAGTTGCATTGCATGACGGTTTGGTATATTATATACTGCGGATCCTTATGCTTCGATTAATTATGCTAAATTCAGAAGAATTTCGGGGTTTGAGTTTTCCAGACACCTTAAAAGACCTTTGAATCAGCAAAAAAAAAATGATCTCAAGCTTCATAGCAAGTGGTCGTAAGTCAATTGTGTGCACGAGCTGGGTAATAAAGGAAGGAAATGAAACGGGAAACAAGACGGTGTACAAACCTGCGACGATACAAACGGCAACAATGAACGCAAGAAAGATTTTCGCTGGCAATCCGGACGTAGCAACGATTACACGTATTGACACGTTTGTTCCAGTTGTCTGTCCTTTGTGATCCTTTCGCGGGCCGGATATATCAGGAAAGTTTTGTCGTAATCTGTGTTTCCTTATTGTTTACATTCAGCTGCACCAAATAGACATCTGGGGCCCGTTTCTCGAAAGCCTCGGAATCTTTTCGGGCCCGAAAAGCCATTTTTAGTTAATCGGTATTTAAAGTCAGAGAGGTGTATACGCCTGAAACCTCTTGTATGGAGAAAGCCTCTGTTTGTATTAAGAATAAACGAATAAAACAGCTCTGTAGTCAAAGGGTTTGAGATTTTGCTGCGGCTTTTCGGGTGCGAAAACTTTTCGGGACCTTCGAGAGACGGGCCCCAGCTCTAACGTCTTTCTTCGACCATCTCGTTTGCACGCTAATAATTGAAGAACAACTGACCCGCCACCCGCAATGCTAGGCGATTTTTCTGGTCCGAAAGAACAGTTAATGTTTTCATAACCAAGGACGAACCTTTAAGATCGACATTTTGAAGTCCTGTCGTCTGACCTTTGAATCTTTACCGCGTCACGCCTTCTGAAAACGAGAAATCGATGCAAACAAGGGGTTTGCAGAAGTCCCAAAATTGAATTTAGGGTAAAACTTCGCTAACTGTTAACTTGCAGTTTGTTCTACGCAACAGCAAAAAAAGACCAGCGAACTGAGGATCCACTTTGTTTGTCCATGCAGTGTGACGTGAAAAATAGAATTTTTACGGGAAAATTTTGGACTCTAACCGTTCTTAAGTCAAACTTTACACTCTGAACTGTTTCGGATTGGTCAGATCGTCATGCGATTCTAAGCGTACCACGCATAAATATCAATACATGTTATGACATTACTGCTGTACGTACCATATCTGCAACTCCTGATTATATGAAATCGACAACAGAGTAAGAGGATAGGTAAGGTAAGGTAACGTTATTTCAAGTCGTAAACGTAGGGAGTCGTTTCCCAATCTCCCGAGCCAGGGGCTCATGACATAAACGTACGACTATTTACAGTAACATTACTACTTACAATTACTATATTCGCTTGTCTGATCCGGCATGAAGCCTTCAGAACTCGCTTCCTTGGTCCGATTGTTCAGTTCACAGATTGCTCGAAGTTCCCAGCCATTGTTGTTCTTGTTTTGCATCGCCGAAATAAATGACCGCCTTTAGTTATGATCCTCGTTGAAAGTCTGAAAATCTGAGAGAGACAGAGCCTGTTAGAGATCTTCCACAATGCAGACTTAAAAATAAAAAAAGAGGGCGAACTGACAAAGTTCTAGGTATTTTGAAGAGCTAGAAACACGATGGCTGATTTTCCGGTGTCCATTTGGAATTTATGAGCGGAGCAGTGGCTAGGCACGTGCGTTAGAAATCTTGGTACATATCATGGCTTTCCCTTACGAAACAATAGCTTGAAATGACAACGACAACTAATTAATGATTATTCTTGTGCTATAAGTAAATGGTAAGGTCTGCATACAGGGTGAGTGCCCCATCAAACGGCCGCTTATCTCCAGTTTCAGTAGCATGAAGTGGTGACCCTCCCCCACCCCGCCCCCAAGCCTGGGTGGTATGTTAGTCCCTTGTGGAATTCTCGTGCAATTTAGAATAAATGAGCACTAATCTTGCAAATATTTCAAAGACTGCAAATTTAGCTTACGGGCGCGTGCATTTCTTTTAACCTTTGACTTATTTATTTCAAATTGCACTCAAAATCATGTGATTATCTTTCTACAGAAGATGTTCGTTACAGTCGGCAAAACTCTACTCATTTATTTTGCATGTTTTTCAATTTGTTTATCATGCAGGTGTACTGTGCTACAGCCCGAAACAACTTTTTAAAACACGATCGAACACATCGATACAAGAGGGTGAGACTATTACCATGTTTGGAGACAGCGGCCCAGAGAAACTCGGTCATCCAAAAAGCTGCACTCCTTAAAAAAACATGTTTCTTGTGGCTGATGGAGGCAATCACTGTGTTGAAGTTTTCGATCAGTCAGGAACTTTCTTGTACAAGTTTGGAAAAAAAGGAAATCAAGATGGACAATTTAACTGGCCGCGTGGTATGCTTGTAGACAGCTCCTATAGTCTTCTCGTATGTGATGGTGAAAATAACCGAGTTCGGCAGTTTTCTTCAGACGGTCGGTGCACTGGCAAAACTATCACTCATTTACCAGTTCCTATTGGAATTGCAAAAGTGTCAGATGGACGTATTCTCGTGACTAGCTATACAGTTAAGAAAGTCTACATATTGAAGTAGATGATTTATTTGTCAGTACGTGTAGTTTGTAACCAACCGCTCTCTCTGATATAAATAGCACAACTAGCTGATGCATCTCTTAGTATCCTCCATTCAAATATCTCAATTTTCATTCATATCACGTAATTTTTCGTAGATTTTTCAGGGCGGTATCAACTTTTCAATTATTCCTGATCTTGTCTCTCGGTTTCACCAAAAACACCAATAGGACTTGTCTTGTTTTAAGGTTGAGATTTAAATTGGGATTTTTCGCTTTCGCGAGTTTCCACAAATTAAAATACTGATATATTACTATTGCAATGAAACCGAGCAGGCAAAACATTGTATGAGGACAGATCCATGTGTTTTTTCTAAGCTAGAGGAATTGTAATTATTTGAGAGAAAATATATTTTTTGTTGTTTTACAATTTAACCACGGATAACGAAGCTTGTAGTTTTGTCCATGATTGTTCTTCCAAATGCGTTACCTCTGTTCTAAAAAGAAAGAAAAACAAAAAACAAACAAAGAAACGAATTTGATCCTAGGTTTTCATTTGTGACGAGCAAATAGTTTGTCCTTCGAAAAAAACTTAGCGGGGGAGGCAGGGACCTCCTAGCTGCCGAAACAGCCGGGTGTTTTCTTTTTTT